TTACTGAGATGCATCAGGACAGAAGGCGAATCGTTTCTGAAAGTTTCATGGTGATTTTATGAGGATTTCTTGAACATTAAGGAAATTATGAACAAAAAAAAGAAAAAAAGGCGAAATGATCAGAAAGGTCTGACTGGTTCAGTGATGAATCACAGCAGAAATCATGAACTTGATTTTCGGAACAAAAACACCCAGAACTCTCTTATTACTTGAGATAATCACATGATTTTGGTGTGATTTTAAATGGCTTTTGGTGCCTTTTTGAATTCACTGTCAGATTTGATGWTAGTGTAGGATAACAATAAATATCTTCATCCCTAATATCTAAGTAAAGCAGAATACAGCTGACAACTGGTGAGGTTACACACACTGACCAGAGCTTTAAAAAYGATTGACAGTTGTGTGTGTGTGTGTGTGATCAAAGTTCTGTTGTGAAGCCGTGGACCCTGGTATTTGACCTAACTCAAAGGCAACACCCCGCCCCATTTATCTCTCATTTGTCGTATCAGAACAAAATTTGGGACACTGCAGCTCATAAACACCCTGTCAGTACATCCTGTGTTGCACGTTTTCTTTACCCAGCCGACCTCAACAAGCCAATCAGAGTCGTTAACGGGAAACTAGTGAAGGTTGAATCCAGGCGCAGTAAACCTGCCCAGACTGTCCTTGGTCACAACGAGACCTTGGAGTCGAGACGTGATGTGCTGCAAACATGAGCAACAGTCGGGCTGATCTTTAGTGTCGTTTCCATAAGGACGAGAGCAAAACAGGGATTAGACCAAAACGTTGAGCGACGGCCTCCAGATGAGTGGAGTCAACAAATTTTACGCCGAGTTTAGCAGGCGAGCACTTTGTCAGCAAATAACAAAAAAATTGAACAGGACAGGAATAACAGCATATCAGGAAGTCTGCATCACCCAGTTTCAGACACCGATTGTGAAAAATAAAAAATAAAAGTCAACACCAACAAAAATAAATAAATAAAAAAGAGCACAGATCTAAACATTGCTTCAACTGAAGCATGTTGAAAATTTTTAAAATACTTTTAAAAATGAARTATTATTTTCAATTCACTATGCAGAGGATAATGTGAACTTTGAAACACTTTGGTATGCAGACAGAAAACCCTATCAAATCGCTGCAATTAACTTTTATTCTGTTTAGGTGTGTGATTCTTTTATAAAATGGTAAATTACTGTAAATATGACAGATTTACAAAAAGGTCCTGCTGGTAACATTAACTATAATTTTAAGCTTGCACGCCCCCACACTCATTTTAGCACATATCTTTGTGTAAAATGTTTTGCTGCAGATGAAAGTGTATTTTTTTAAAACTAACATGACAGAAAAATATTAAATAACCATAACACTAAATTGAGGTGATTTACATGACAATAAATATCATTATTTTGTACTTGGAAATTAGTTAAGTTAGTACACAAAGTAGTTGTGTTAGAACAAAAAAAATGATTTGTTGTTTTTTTTCTGCTATGATTTTTTTTATCTAAAGGAAGCAGCTTTTAACCCTTTATAGATAAGCCGCCCTCAGCATGACACTTTCAAATACTCGTTAATCTCATGTTCTGTCCTACAAAATACAGAAATATATGTTAAAAATAAACTACAGACTGTATAATATAAGTTAGACTCTTGATTTATGCCAAGTGTATTTTAAGAGTTATTTGTTAAATGCAGAAAATATGATTTATTACAAAAAAAGACTGAAGGTCTCTTGGAGGAAAGACAAAACGTTTCAATGAAAGAACCCCAGAGGACCTCCTAATTTCTATTGATGATTTATTAGTTATTTTGGAATAAAATCACTTAAATATGCCAGGTTGTATTTTTAGTTTAAAGTCAGCAAAATAAAATAATATATATAAAACAGGTGATAACATGATTCAATTTGAGGAAAGTTACAAACTTTATCCCACCTGTGTAACCAAAAAAACAACAAAAAACTAAACAAGTCTGAGTTTTGACTGAACAAATCCACTCAAGCACAAACGCTGGTGAACAAACACACAAATATGACTCCATGCAGGCAGGAGCCCAACCCTAATTAAGATTTGATTACCTTGCAGAGGTGCTGAATAATGCAAATTCAGTCAAAGCGCAAACAGGAGTTGTATTTTTAGACACGTAAACTTGGAAAGACGCTTCAAAAAGRAGACATTTATAGATAATATAAAACAGACTGCGTACTTAAGGTTGTGTTTTCAACGGCTAAGCATTTTATAATGATTAAAACCATGCATTTATCACATCTACTGCAGGAGTATTTGTAATTCTTTATAACCTGGKTGTAAAAACCTCATATTCCTTCAATTTTAGTTTCTCTCCATTGGCTCCCTGTTAAATTCAGAATTGAATTTAAATCAATACAAAGCTTTATATTATATTAAAGATCGTATTATTACTAGGGCTGTGTATTGGCAAGAATTTGGCGATATGATACATATCATGACAGAGGGGTCACAATACGATATATCCCGATGTATTGCAATACTGTAAACAAGGTGATATATTGTGATTTTTTTGTCCAAAAATTCTATTAAATAAAAACCTCTTACAGGGGAAAAAATGAAAAACCAAAATTCATTGTCTCAGAAAATTCTAATATTACATAGACATACTTTTGATACATTTAGCTGTGTTCTACTTTGTATGTGTTTTATTTTATTTGTTTCATATTTCATCCATGTTTTCAATTATTAGACTAAACTTGACAATAAATAGTTTGAAAATATATTTTTTGCAGCTTTTATTTTTTAATATTAATTTACTATATGGTCACCCAACACTTAACTCCTCTTGAGGTAGAGCAGCCAAATGGCTGGCTCACTGCTGCCAACTAGTGGTCAGAGGCTGAACTACAACATAAAAATGAACGGCTGGCAGGAAAATTGACATTTTAAACCTGAATAAAAAAATCGATACGGGGCTTTAGAATATCGATACAGTATCGGGAAATGAAATATCGCGATATTTCAGTGTATCGATATTTTCTTACACCCCTAATTATTACATATTTTCCCAGCAAAGCACTTTGCTCTCTAGAGTGCAGGTTTACAAGACGCAGAACTTTCATTTAGGCTTTCAGTTCGACTTTTAAGACTTAAGACTCTCCTTTTGGATAAATCCTGTAGTTGGTTTGGTTTGGGTTTCCTGAGCTATCCGTTAGTTCTGCTGCTATATTCTCAAAYTGCTAAGGGGAAATCCTAGATTGGGACAATTATCAAARGATAAACYGGAAGTCAGGGTTCAGTTAATAAGGAGACCATTTGAAACTGAAAGCTCTCATTGTTAAAGCAAACTCTGCCCTGTAGGAAAACTTCCTCGCGAAATYAAGACAAAGTTTCCACATTACACCTTCCCAGTCCGGGGACAGCCAAGTCCACATCCTGCTTTACAGCAACACTAAATCCAAATACATCACGTCGACTACGAAGGGTCAACAGAGGAAAACCCTCAATGACAACTTCCTCTCTTTAAGAATGGGCTGACATCACTCTCTAACACAGTCTCCTGACTGAGACAGATTTATTATGTAACATTTAACACCCTGAAAGGAGCCGTCTTTGTCTCCTGTAAGCTTTTTTTTTCTTCTCTGTTCCTGGGATCAAAACAAATAAAAGCAAACATACATGAAAGAAAAACAAGCCACAAGTTTTAGTTCTACTAAAAAAGGCCAGACATTCCTCAGATACGTGGTAATTTCTTTGACAGCATGGGTCAAAACATAAATCCTCCAGGATTAGAAAGAGTAGCTCTGCTTCAGGAGCTATTACGAGCTTCTTTGTTCCGCTTGAAGTTTTGATCTACATTTTCAGACAGTAGAGGCGTGTAATATTTTCTGAACGCRTACAGTAACCTACATCTGAGAAGTCTGCACACGCTGCACGGGCGCCTGGTGGATCTGTCTACTCCATCATACCCCCCCACCGGGTTTTAATAACACCTGAAGATGGTGAGGCGTATCATTTTCTCTTGCTGCAGGTAGAAACCCCAGATTAAATTTCGGATTTAGGTTTCACATCCAGCACAGGAAGACAAACTGACATAACACTATGAAAAGTAGCATTATATTTCTTTATACGGTGCTTCTAAGAAGCCAAACTTTCTTGTACTTTGGTCTTGATATGTCTTAAAGAAAAGAAAAGGAAAAAATAAGATTTTGCATTGATCATCTACGATAAGCTTTCATTTGAAACTACTATATTATGTCAACAAATTGTCTTAGATTTGGGATTTGTCATATATTCAAAAAGAGGATTATTTGTTATGTATTGACACAGAGTTTAGATGCCTGGGTTGAAATAAAACGGCTTAAAAACATAAATGTGAAAATGATGCACTGGACTGAAGAATTAGAGAGAAAGCAATTAAAGTTTGATGCAAAACAGATTGTTTTTAATGCTAATATAGATCAGGGTCGTTTTAAAAATTTTTTAAAAGAAATTATGCCTCCTTGGAAGCCGAATATTTAAAAAAATAGTAATAAATCAAGTTTTTTTCTCCACACCTCCTCAGCCTGACGTTCACTTCTCATGACTCAAAGTTGATGTTAATTTAAAGGCGCTACTGGGTTGGGCCCTGCTCACCATAAAACCACATTTAAAGAAACAAAAACAAAAAGGCCTGGCTGCATGATGGAATGAAAACAAAAAAGACAGCAACAGATCAACTCCAGGCAGATAGGTGACCAACAGCTGGGGTTATGTAACCGGAAAGTGGCGGTGTGGCTGCTGCCTGCAGGCCAAACACAGCCYGGCTGGATAAATATCACTCACTGACAGGGTAAACACACAGAAAGCGACCCTGTGCTTTTACACAAACACACACACACACAGAGAAAAATCACCGCCAGCAGTTGTTGGGGTTTGTTTGTTGCAGAACTCGGAGCTAGTTGTGTCGGTAAGCTAGCGTTAGCTCCAGTGATTCAGCGGGCAGCCGTGCGCAGAGTGACGGCAGCGACGTGCCTCTCTGACGGACACTTACTCCGTCACCGACCCGGTGAGGGCTCGTAGCACCCTCGGCTTTAACGGTTATCCCCCACCCACAAAAAAAAGCCTCCCTCCTCCTAGATTACTACAAACACGTTAAATATACATCTATATTTATGTAATCTTCTGACGCTCTGTTAGCTTTAAAGTTAGCTTTAGTTAGGAGCGCGCGCTGCGTTTATTTTAACGTGGAATAGGGTTACCGTTTCAGCACATTTTTCGCAATTTCTCGCAGTTGAATGACCCCGAAAATATCTAAAATACAAACTCTTGGTGTCCATCAATATTTGCTGTAGAAATGGCGGTTAGACGCGATTTGAAATGCMACCAAAACAAATATCCAGTTACTCACTGGAGGAATCCTCATCTTTATTCCCATGATGGAGCCGGACCGTTCGCGCTCGTCATGCCTAAAATAATGTTCGCTTTTAAGTCTCTCTTGTTTGTTTCCACGTCTTGTAGTCTCGCTGTCTGTTGACTTGAGCGGCACTACTCGAAAAGTACATCCAAAACCTGCCGTAGTTGTGCGACAGCACTCGAGGATCCCTCCCTTAATGCTGGGAAATTAAGGATCGACCATGATTCAGAAGTAAACCCCAACTTCCGCTTTGACCTTTCAAAATAAAAACCACTGATCGCTGAAAGCTATGATGGGAGAACCAATATGGGTTAAAAGTTATCCTTTTTTTTCTTTTTGCTAAATTACAAGATGTATAGGGTAATTGATAATTTTAGTATTGTAATTGTGATTTATTTTTTAGTAGTCATGATAGGTTTTGTTTCTGGTATTTGTACACTTCATGGTCTATGGTATGTACATCTGAAGCTTTCACTTTGAATGCCAGAGTGCTACAGAGTGTTATTTTACCTGATGTGTGAAACCGAAATAAAACTCTGCAATTACTTGTGCAAAATTATACAGATCTTGCTCATGGCAAACTTTGTGCATAAAGCACACAACAAAATAGCACAGAGTTGTGTAAATTATTAGCAATCCAGGAAAAGACAAATGAAAAAGTAAAAATAAAAAGATTTTTTTCTGTAACTGATATTTTGCCTTTTTTTTTTTGTATCCTATTATTAAAAAAATTAACTGTTCAAATTTCCTGATCTCATATGCATGGTGGTTTGAAGCAGTAGTTTAAAACTAAGAGTCCCTTTTTAAATCAGATTTAACACATCGGAATACTATAAAAGTTGTTGTGCTTACTATCTCTTGCAACTCAAGATGAGTTTAGTCTGTGACTGATCATAGCATCACTCATCATAAAGGTTTCATTTTGGGAGGGACTTTTATTTTCTAGGTGTCCTCTTGTAGTTTCCGGTTTTGCCCCGTTACATGATAAATTGACGCAACTCTGGACGCTTCGCTCCGGGGGGCCGCTGCTCCAGCTGCAGGGACATTCTGACTCAGTCAAGGCGGAAAATGATGAGTACGAGCCCCGGGGCGGGTCCACGGCTCCATCCCGCTCCGGCGCACCGCAGGCCCGGGAGCCAGAATGACTCATCTTCGGTCACCTTGTCACGGCCGTGTCCTGGAACTACAGCGGTGGCGGAACCAATTGATCAGCGCGAGGCATCAATAASACCGGAAGTGGTGTGAAAACCATTTAAACTGTGATGAGACACATTTGGTTTTCTGGTTATAAATACTTGATATTTCAGTTATTTAAAAACTTTAAAACAAATTAATWATAAAAAGAAACATCAGTTGCCCAAAATCATTTTATTAAATTCATATTTACCATTATAACACTAATTACATTACTCACTAACTTTAATTGCAATTTAAAAAAAAAGAATATCTTAAATACCAGCTGTGTTTAGCTATATAAGAAGCTTATTTCTAAAGYAATTAAAGTCCTTTGGGTGCTGAGAAGATGTTGACAATATCGCAGCATTTTGAGCATGTCGTCGAGACGCCGCAGCAGGTTAAACGTCTCAGGAGGTGATGCACCGCACCTTTAATAATCGTTTCTCCACCAGAGGAAATAACCTTTGCGAGTCCACGTAACATAAAAATATGAAGAAAAGAAGAGAACGTTTTGACCGATGAAGGGATTTCATCAGTTTGCTTCATTTTTTGAGGCTTCGTCGAAGTTCTCCACGAGATCTGTGAGGCAGAAAAAAAAAATAAAGTTAATAAAATGGTTAAATTGTAATTATCTGGAAACAAACTTTTTATTTTAACCCATTAAGAGCACCTTTTATACCACAACAGATGTTATTCTAATACAAACCAGACAAAGAGAAAAGTGTCTGCTAATAATAATAATAATAATAATAATAATAATAAATCTTATCTCTACCTGGTACGTCGTCATCCTCCTCTTCTGCAGTTTCCTCTTTGACAGTTTTCATGTCCATCGCTGCTGAAACAAATTCAAATTAAAAGGTCAAATTCTACATTTATTGATGATCAAACTTTAAAATGGTATGTATGTGATGCAGATAACCTCCTTTCTTTACATAGTTTCAAATCACCTTTACTTACAAAGCGCCGTTTAAAGCAACATTTATTATTACTATTTTTTTTTTACATCTGAATAACCTCTTCATGGAGGAAAAAAATCAAGTGATTTGGCCAAAAGTTYCTGACACAGTCGCAGTAAATTTCCACCAGTGTTTCTACAAAAAAAAAAAAACCTATCAAAATGTAAATAATAATCCTGCAACTGAATAAACATGCAGAATATTCAGTTTGCTTCAAGCCATTTAGAGCAGCTGGTAATGTCTGACACTTAAGCTCTGTGTTCACTTTTCACTTATTTAATCATTATGATGTTTAAATCGTCAAAAGTCTTATTTAAAATTAGAGATCAAATATAGTCAAAGCATCATCCAGTTAAATCAAAGAGAAATCCATATGAAGCACAAAATGCAGCACCTTAACAGAAACACGGTTACTGGGAAGAAAAAGAAAAGATGTCTCCAGACATCAAACCAGTCGGACCTGTGTGGTTCAGTCAGTGCWCAGACTTAAGTAGGATGAACTGGAAAAACTCCTTTGAAAAAGCAAACTAAAAAAAACAAAACAAAATAAATCATCTCTTTAAGGCAAAACTCAGCTGTCCACTAACACCTTACATTCTTAAGGACATGTTGAACAGGAAATCCAACATTTCAGTCGAGTAAGGCAAACAAAACCAACAACGACCTCAACGACCCACAGGATGGATGGTTCAGCGACTCACATCTAACCTCAAAAAGTGCACAAAACAAGCAAGAATCAACATTGCTTTTAGATCAGCAGTGCCACAATACCACTCTTGTGTGTGTGTGTGTACTTGTTTTTTACTACAGAGTGAGGACCTTTTGCGCCATAGTTGCTATCAAAGTGAGGTCTTTGATGTAAAGTGAGGACTTCTTCAATGTCCTCATTTGTGCTTTACTAGTTAGGTTTAGAGGTATCATGTGAATTAGGTTTTGGTTCAGGTTAGTGTTAACTATAGACCAGTAATGGTTAATTTTATTAGTTAGGTTTAGAGGTATGGAGTGAGTTAAGTTCAGGTTAGTGTTAACTATAGACCAGTAATGGTTAGTTTTAGGGAAAATGTCTGGGTTAGGCATAAGTACAGTTACAAAAATGAATGGAAGTCAATATAATATCCTCAGTTTGATGCAAATACAAGGATGTGTGTGTGTGTGTGTGTGTGTGTGTGTGTGTGTGTGTGTGTGCGCTCACCTTGTCGTGGGAACTGCTCGGCCAGCTTGCGCAGGCTGCTGAGGCTGTCGGCTCCCAGCTGGCTCAGGATGCCCGGCAGCATCTCGGTCAGCTGTTTGGTCTCGGCGTGGCCCGTGATGGCAAAGGTGTTGGCGGACAGAGACGCTTGAACTTTGGGGTTGTTGAAGTGAATCACCGTCCCGTCGTCTTTTATCATATTCACCTGAAAAAGAGTCATGTCGATATTTTTTCRGGCTTAATCGCTAAAATTACTTCAGGAGTTCCGTATGAAGGACATTCAGGGGCATTTTGCCGTAGGTTTGCGTCTCTCTTTATTTGCACTTTGTGTTAAGTGCGTTTGCTGAAAGCTCTCTAAAAATAAATCAAACGATGACATGTTTGCGAAACTCGGAGCTCGGGCTTTCCAAGTCTTTTATCCTGATAAAAAATTAAAGATTCTAAAGACACAAAAAATAAAAATCAACTGCACAAACACGCTGCGACATTCCTCAAACGACTCACCTCTTCGATCCCGGCGATGTTGTTCACCGCCAGTTTCTTCAGCGAGCCCTGCAGCTTTTTGTCATCGGCCGTTGCCGTTTTGTGAACAACCTTTTTCTTCCTGCGGGCGGTCCCCTTAGGGAAGACAAGAGGCCAAAAATTAAAKGGATTGAACAACACACTTTTACAAACAGGCTTCTAGCTAAGGTCTTAAAGTGTTTGTGTGTCTTATATGCTGTTTGACTTTTTACATTTTGGTTCATGTCCTTAAATCTTTTATTCCYCATTCTTTCACTGTGAAGTACTTTGTGATTTTATATCTATGAAAAGTGCTTTTGAGTATATTTTGGCTTTTCATTGCCATCAGTTTAATAAAATATTCTGAGACCRCCACACATTCTTCTGGTATTTTAATTTAATTAAACTCAGTCAGATAAATGGTATAAAACTGACTGGAATTGTAGATGTAGGCAACCWAAAATCAAACGGCTCATCTCTTTGTGACTGCAATACATTGTTTACAAACCAAAACTTGTACAAATTTCTCATAAATGTTACAAGATGATCCAGTCCATACAGTCCAATAACTCAAAACTGTCTTTACCGGCAGCAGAAAAAAAAAAACTATAAAAAAGCGAAGATTCATCATCTAATGATTATGAAACAAAAAACAGACAATTTTACTTGTAAGCAAAACGCTGTCTACAAAAAATGGAAGTGATCACCACAAGTTAAACCCACAAAGGTTTTCCCAAAAAGCATGAAAGATATTTTTGTAAGTGGGGAACAGAATAATAAGGCTTAAACATGAAACTGTTTTTAATCAGCTGAATCAAATATTCTCATTTTCACCTTTTGAACCAAGTCATTTCTCCTAAAAACATGTACTTTCCTTTTCAAACAAGTATTTCCTTTTTTGATGCAGGTAAAAACAGCAAGATCAGACTTTTGTGGTTCTGATGTCACAGTCAAAGTCACAGGACCAAGAAACAAAGGTTTATTTTCAACCCAATTAGTTGTTTTTAAGAGAAACCATCTTACTAGTATGAGTAATATGTGACCCATCGTATCAAAATGAGGATAAAGTCAAATTTGGTCAAAACGACCTAATTACATTTTCAGATTCCTGCTTTAAAAGCTACATTTTGACACCTGAATCATTCTGATATCATAAACTTATCCAGAGATATGACTTAATTTGTCTTGTTGGTTATGATAATACATTACAGTTTGGTCTGAAACCTAATTTCATGTAAATTTATTGAGTAATTTTTTATGCCAATATAAAGAGGAAACCTCAAATAGTATTTGTATGTTAAGATTTCCCAGTTAAAAAGAAACAAAAACATTGCTAGCTCATAGGGAAAATTTCAAAACTTTAAGGCGTTTTTATTTTTCTACTCAAAATCAGTTTTTTTTTTGTTTCTAATGCTCAAACAAATGCTTCAAAAAAATTTAGGATTGTATTTCATACAGTTTATTCAAATGACACATTGATAAGAAATTAATTCATTATATTTTGACAAAATGCAATTCCCCACGTTCCACTTTTGGATTTAATCCTTGTTTCGACGTCATGGGTCACATAATGTAGAAAATCATTAAGTAATTGTTGTGATTGGTGGTTCAATGTTCTGCTCTTCTACCTCACACATTTTTGTAGTTTGATAACTTAAGAAATGAAACCTTGTAAATTAGTATAAAAGTGTTTGCTGTAGAAAAATCCTGAACCTTCAGACTTTAAAGCAGCTGCCTTACTCATATATTTAATCATTTTACCTTAGCTTAAGTTCACAGACACATACAGGGATGGAAAATATTATGCTCCAGTCTTGTTTGAGTTGGAGGAACAAGGACTTTCCTTAGAAAAACAACAAATATTGCCACCTAGTGTGTGCTYTAAGACCTCACAGTAACTGTGAACAAAGCCAGAGGCCACAGATGAAGGGGCCAGTCAGTGTTTTGCCTCATAAAAGAGACTGCTGAGGTCAGGAGAAAAGGCCTGGCTTATTTAAAAACAAATGCCTTTAATCTTTTCTTTCTTTTTTTTTTTTTTAAGTGAGAAACAACTGAGCCAAAGACTTACCTTTCCTCCTATCCGGACCTGAGCTTGCAGTTTGGCGAGCTTCTCCTGATTCATAGTGTTCTGTTGGTTTGATTATATAAATATTKAATAAAGAATTTCACATTCCCTGAAATAGCAACAAAAAAATACATGTTTACATCACTCCAACAAACGATAACATAGCTGTAGCCGAGAGCTAAAATAATTTATTAATTTTCATCAGCGGAGCAATTTTGGCAGTATTATTTACGTTCTCGATACAATAGAACGAGATTTTTTAAACGTACAAACGTAATAATATAGTGTGTTATCTTAAAATAYCATCCGTGTCTAAAAATCTAAATTTATGAAGCTAGCTAAACTAGCAAAAAACAACGACAGACTGAGCTAATGCTAGCTAGCTGGATAAAATGACTCCATTAATTTGATTTGGTTCTTGACTACATCGAAAGCTAAAGGCTTTCAAATAATCAACTGGCGTGTTTAAAATAAATTTAAACACAATATTTACCTGTGGTTCGGGATTATCAATCTGCTGAACGGTTCTTGCTACAAACGAAGCAGCAGTACGGATTAGACCATAGWTAAATTAGGAGCGACACACGATACTTCCGGTTTAGTTTTTCCAGAATAAAATCGTCGTAAAGCTTTTATTGCGATTACTTTACACGTTTGGAAAATCTGCGCACCCCTTTATAAAACAACTCAAATGATATTATTGTAAGGATATTATATATACACATTCTTGAATATGATAACATGTTTTCAGCCTCAATTCGGACTTTTAAAGTCGAGTATTTGATCGATTTCCGGTTTTGCGCCCGCATTTTCTTGTCTGATTTCATCTGACTCAGCATTGACGAACACGCGGTCGTGTGGACGTGATGTCACGTGAGCACGCCTCAAAACGAAATAAAAATTAAAATAAACACACATGCCCTCTGGATGTAACAGGAAGCGACGCACGCACGTGCGCTGTCGAAGGGCTTTTACTGTGAAATCTTTGCCGGTTGAGCATCCGGGTCACCAGTTATCGAATTTACCTGCCATCACCTGCTAGCTAGCTGCAGCTGTAAGGAAAGAAAAGCAGTAAAAAATGCAAACATCTATAGCAAATATCGCTGTTTTTTCGGTGTTTCAGGTTTTATTGTCTTTCTCGGGTTTTGGAGAGGTCGTGGAAGCCTCCAGTGGGAGAGGTGAGTTTCAGTTTAGAGTTAAATAAAAGTGTTAAAAAGCAGATTTGTGTGTAGCTTCATTGAAAATGCTGGCAGAGGAAAGCTGCTGGTCTTTGTGTGTCAGGATCCTGGATCACGTTTGTGTTCTTGATGTTTATAGAAAATATGTTTTGCAAAAAAAAAAAAAACAAGTTGAAATCCAGTTTTTCTGGTTCACCTAATACCACTAATTTTACTTCCGCCATTTTTCTTTTGAACCTTATCTTTCTTGTTTTATCTCCACTGTGGTTGAGGCATTTTTAAATATATGGCAGCTTTGAAAAGCACTGCATAAGTAACACACTATATACAGCAAAACCTGTAAATAAATAAGGAAACAAATAAAATATATACTCTTTTACAATTAAAAATGTGCTGTATTTTGCTTCTTGAAGATTGAAAAAACTAAAAATAGCAATCAGTTTTGTGTAACCAACTGTTACTTTTATATTAGTACATTTTATTCAGTGGTTTATCAAATAAAACATAAAAAAATCATCAAACAAATCCTTAAAGTGGTTCCTGCTGTAGTTTGGTTACAGTTCTTTGTTTATATTCTGCATTTAGGGCAGAACCGCCCCAGCTGTGTGGAAATATGAAACCTGTTACACGAAGCCGGTCATAGATATTTACTTATTAATGTTTTCCTGCAGGATTTGGCGATAACATCTACTGGAGGACGCTGGAAGATGGCAAGAAAGAAGCTGAAGCCAGGTGAGCTCTTGAACATTAACCAGAGGCACAAAATAAAGAAACGTCCCACATTTCAGTTGCTGACTGACAAGTTGATCTCTTTATTTAAAGCAGAGCACGCTTTGCCGGTTGTGCGTGTTATTGTTCTGCAGATGTAGCCTTTAGAAAACAATAAGTGCAGTAAATAGTATCTGAGTGTTTCATCTGTGTTTCTTGACACRCATTTTCCGTGTCGTGGCGTCGGCAGTGGGCTGCCGGTCATGGTCATCGTCCACAAGACCTGGTGTGGAGCCTGCAAAGGTACGAATCTGTTCCCTCCTCGTTTTTTCCCTAAATCTTAAGCAGGATTTGTGCAAAAATGCAGGTGTTTGTTACTTTTTTATCCCCAAACAACAAAAAACTGATGCAGTTTGATTAATTTTCTGTAAACAARCCCTGTTTTCAGACAGCTGTCTGAATATCATTCATGTTTCCRTTTTTGTCAAACAATAGAAAGCAGCTTCACCCAGAGAGTCACGGTGACTCAGTCCGGCATAAATAAAGGGCATCAGGGACGAGTTCAGTTGTTGCAAAGATGTGGGTAGAGTTTCACATTTAAAGGGAGGTAAAAAAAAAAGTTTTATCTGGCATAAATAGCACAGCTGCAACAAATAAAACCCAAAACAAACTGTTTTTATATTTAGGCAGAAACAGTGTTCCTGCGCAGTGTGGGATTTAACTTCAATGTGTTTCATGTTGGGGGGAAAAAGCTAAAAATCAACTAAAATTTACTTCTTTGCTTCTCTTTTCTTACATTCATTTTCAAACTGACGACACGAGGAGGTTTATGATCTTCATGTTACRTGTGTTTTAAATAAATAACTTTATTTATCACGATCAGCTCTGAAGCCCAAGTTTGCCGAATCCAAGGAAATCTCTGAACTGGCGCACAACTTTATAATGGTCAACCTGGAGGTGAGAAACAACTTTTTTTTTATTTATTTGGATGTCAACAAAAAAATAAAAGTAGCGTTTTCATTTCAGGAAGTGAAAGTTTGTAACAGATGGTTTTGTTACAGGATGAAGAGGAGCCGAAGGACGAAGCCTTCAGCCCGGACGGAGGGTACATTCCTCGGATTCTTTTCCTCGGTACGGAGCCGCTCTGTGGGAACACCTCTCTGGGTTCTTTTAGGAGAAACTGAATCAGACTTATCTCACACAGCAGTTGGATGTTTTCCTCAAACTGTTGTAACATCTCTGTTTTCAGARTTTTTTTGACTCTGAATCAGGATACGGGCGTTCTGCAGCGCCGCCGATGGCGGCTCTCCAGAACTGCGACCGTGACGCTCGAACTCGTTTTCGACCTGAAAAGTCGAGGAATAACCAGAAACGCTGCTGTTTTATGGATTAGGTGTCAAAAACCGTAGATGATGTCAGTGTTTGAAACAAGAATTTAGGAACAAACACTTTATTTTTGAAACAGAACCTAAATTTCAGACATTTGTACTCTTGGTTGAACATTTCTGGATGAGAATTCAGGAATTATCTGCAGACAGGGTTCCCGCGGGTCCTTGAAATCCTTGAAAGTTTGAATTTGAAAAAAAAATATTTCAAGGCCCTGGAAAGTTTGTGAAAACAGCCACAAATTACACTTGTCCTTGAAAGTCCTTGAATGTTTTTTGCAGATAGAAATTCTCTATTCACACAACTGATTTTCATCATCTTTTAAAAAAATAATTTATAAAATTAAATTAAAAAAACGTACATTTGTTGGGGTGGATAACTCAGGATTACGGTAAACTGGCGTCATTGTTTCTGACTCAACAACTTCTATGTTCAGTTATTAATTGAATTTACATATTAAACATGATATTTAAAAAAAACGATATTAAACCTGTATTAGTAACATTGTGCGGTAGAAGTAGGTAATTGCCGTTGCGCGTGGTTCTTTAATATGAGGAAATTGGTACTGGAAAGTCCTTGAAAGGTCCTTGAATTTGRTGTCGACCAAGGTGTGGGAACCCTGTGCAGAAATCAGGATAAAAACGTGAGGAGCCTCACGTTTTGTCTTCCCTGTTTGTTCCGTTCACAGAYCCCAGCGGTAAAGTCCACCCGGAAATCACCAACAAAAACGGCAACCCAAACTACAAGTACTTCTACAGCACTGCAGACCAGGGTAACTGTCCACACGTCTCCAACTACTCATGATTTTATTTTGCTCTCAGGAGCTCCAGGTTCACAACTTTTGATGGAAACTTCAGATCTTTAGAACAAGTTCAGGTTTATGGTTTCTCTTTGGACGCCGGCTGCTTCGTCACTCTGGTATAAGCAGGAAACTGGCACGTTGTGGAGTTTGTTCTTAAAAGAAGGAACGGCCCCCAGGTTGCTTTCGAYGGCAATCTGGTTCCTGTTTGATCAAAGAGAGATGCTTCTGTGGCTCGATGCAGAGCTGAACTGGTTCCTGTTGGGATCTCAAAGCACAGTTGAGGAGGTTGGAAACCTCAGGGTCTCGTCTCTGCTTTGTGTAGGTGACGTGGTTCTGTTGGCGTCTTCAGGCCACGGCCTTCAGCGTGAATCAGTTGAGGTGAGAGTCAGCTCCTCTGGTTCTCATCTGGAAAAACGTGGAATAATCGCTTCTAGTTGGAGAAAATAACTCCAACAGATAAACAAAATCTCAAATCTATGTTTTTTAAAAGAAATAGAGGAAAATTAGTCTCGAGACAGGATCTGAGAGATTCATTGTTCTTCAGAGCATCATACGTTTCTTTAAAGTCACCTTGTTGGTGTTAAAATACAATTTTCTGTCTTTGAAGTTGTGCTGATTTAGATATTTTTCATAGAGTTGTCGTTTGAAGCTGTCATAAAGTCAAAGATAATTCATCACAGGATGAATTATCTGGATCTTTTATTTATGCCTGAGTGGTTCTTAGATCAGGGTTAACTGACTTAAAACATTCTTCTCAAAATAGTTAGCTTCTAGTGGAAAAAAGCAACTAAAGTTCAAAGAAAAACCCCTTTTTGAAAGAACTCCAGGAAGCCTGGAGAAAAATGGCTCATTGGAAGCAAAACGAAGATTTGATGAAAAGCGTTTGAGCAGTAACGTTGCTTTCTGTTTGTTCTCAGTCGTGTCGAGTATGAAGGAGGCGCAGGAGAAGCTGACGGGCGACTCCTTCCAGCAGGGCCACGTGGGAGACGAGCTGTGAGGAGGTGGAGAGGTGACTCCGGGCTTTAAAAGAAAAAAAAAGGGCTACACTTCTTCTGCCAGAGCTCCCACCAACAAGCCCTTTGAATATTCACACACCGTACGGTCGAAACGAGGCTCCGCCTCCGAACCAAAACCTTTCAAAACCAATCGGAGCTCCGGTGTTTCTTTCTGCCCTGAGCTCCGCTCCTGTGTCCCGTCATCACTTTAAGTTTCGTATATTTGTGAGTTAATCCCGACTAAAAGCCAATCGGTGTCTGTAGAGAAACAATCAACCTGTTAGCCACGTTAGCTGCCATCTGGTATTAACTTCTGGTCCTTTTTTTAAGTAGTAACCAACATCTGAAACTGATTTTAACGCCAATACAAAGCTCAGAAGTAGAAATGTTTGATCATTTGGAAGCCTGTTTTCTTAGTGAAATGTTAGATTATCTCAGGAAATGGGGTTTGCTAAGAAATTAAGTTAATCTAAGAAAATATACTTGATTTTTAAAGATGTGAGGATTATTTTCACCACTTTTGAGGAGTTACTGTTTGTTGTAAACATTAAAGATATCTTGAACAAAAATGCAAAACCAAGAGGCCAACTAATTTCATCTTTGATGCTTAAATGTTTATTAAACAAGTTGTTTTCATTTTAACTGCTTCCTAAATTTAAGTTGTTATCTTTGTTTCTCATAACAGTTTGTCAAAAATGAGYTTTGTATTAATAAAATGGCAAAACTGGATTAAATTATTTTAAGGACAGATGCTCGCTCTTAGTTTTACCACCTAAAGTCATGTGCTTCCAAAGATCCTCTACAGACCCTCTATTTGTGATATTTATCTATGATTTAGTTCATGAAAACCCTGTAATCCTGCCATAACGTGTATTTTCTGCTCTGCATGTGACTTAATGTGACTTAATGTTCCCCCTTTTTCTTTTTCTTTTTTAACTCCTCAAATGAGGGAAAGAAAAGTTTTGTCCTGATGTATTTTATACGGCCAAATGTGCAAAATAAAGTTTGTTGTACGGAGTGATTTGAAGGAATTGGACATATTTTGACGCAGCAAAGGTAATGTATCAAATTTTATTGTCTATGCAACAACAGTGATCCCTTTATCCTTCATTAAGACAATTAAATCTTAACAGATGCATTCACGTTGATCACCTAGACATGGTCCAGAAAATATCTACATGTGCAGCCATAGATTTATTTAAAGGGATAGTCTGTCATTTTTGAAGTGATGTTCTGTCAGATGGTTTTAATGGTTAGCCGTGACATTGTGGAGAAAAGAGCAAAAACTTTTATCCAGGCTAGGCTAACGGCTAATAAAACAAGTTTATAATCGTTTTTCAGGCTTATAAAACAACCGTTTCTTATAAACCACATATGATGAAAAAATGCTACATTATATATTTATGTCATTATGTATATTGTATACAATGTAATGTTAGCGTTGTAGCAAAATATATATTTTATATATAAATTACATTTAATGCTGCTTTTTTTGACAGACTACATCAAAAACAAACCAGACTCTCCCTTTAAAGAGTGACTTTACAGGACAAATGACATGAAAAACTATCTTCTGCTAAAACAATGAGAAAATCAAAACGACTGTTTTCAACTTGGTTAGAAGAATTTAGAGGAAAAAGCTGCTCAGTCTAACAGCTGGAGGCAAAACTCCACCTGAAAAATGTAAGATTTAAAGAAGTGCAAGGTGACAGCTTCTCAAACGTGACTTTTTTTATCTAAAAGCTSTAAAAAGACAATAAAAAAAGTTTACAGGAAAGAAATATTGCTAATAATCAGTATAATTCTAACTGCACAAAGCTGCTGTAAAATCAGCGGCACGTTCACATAAAAATAGAAAAATCTATAAAAAGACGTGAAAACACATCTGTATATTTAAAACATACACAACTAGAAAACTGATCAGAGTAAACTGGTGGATTTGAAGTTGGTAAATGTGCAATTTATAAAGTTTTCAGCACGAGTCAAGTGTCGGAAACTGGATTTCATATTTTCTGAATATCTTCACAAGATTACAACAAAAACATGTTACATTCGTACATTTACACTAAAGTGAGAACGCTTCGTCCAGCCTCGATGTTTGTCCAGTGGCTTTTCACGATATCAAACAGTGATTTGGAGGAGGAGTGTGTTTGTGGAGGTGTATTTGCTACATCATGGGGACCATTTTCCAGACAAACACAGCCTTGTGGRGACCMAATGCTCCTTAYGGGGACCAAAGCCTGGTCCCCACGGGTACAGATGCCAATTTTGGGTGGGCGGTAAGTCTTAGGGTCAGGTGTGTACTGAGGTAGCCTRGTTAAAACCAGACCCTTGTCCTTCACTTTGCTTCGTACGAGGGTCTGGACTCGCGGCTATAGAGAAGCGATTCTTGCTGGAGGCGTGGCCTCTGCTGAAGTTTAAAACGATTGGATCATTTGGCCACGACGTATGTGTGCCAGCTCCACTGTGAAGGAGGCTAAGCTAAGAAGCTAACCTGAAATCACGTGCGCTGTCAACAACCCTACTGAGAGGAGAGAAGTACCGAGCTGAACGAGACGACTGTAAATGAGAGCTGCTGCTTTGTCAGACAGATTTAATTTAATTTGGAAGCCTTATCAACACGGACTGGCTTCATTCACTTCCTCCACTGCCATTGATAAACTACAAGCAGACACTGCGCAGAAAATTGACATTCTGTTCTCTGATTGGCCCGAACAAAAATTCCCCTGAAGAAATCCTTGTCTATGGGGAGAAATCCCAGACGGAGCAGTGAAGGGAAACTAGAATYGAGTGGAAMTGCGTAGGAAGGCAAGGGCCAGGCTAGTACTGAGGTGGTTCGGTTTGGGGTAAAAGGTCAGAGTTAGGCTATAGAAATGACTGGAAAATGGACGTCAATGCCAAGTCCCCACGAGGATAGAAAAGCCAACGTGTGTGTGATGTGGAGGGAGGGGACACAGAAACCCTAAAACCTTCCCTGCTTGGCGTCTCCGATGGCCCCCCACACATCGAAGACGAACTCGTCGGGAAAGGCGAAGTCTCCGAGGGTCTCGTCGAGCGCCATGGCGAACTCGTCTGGGTTCTTCTTGTCCCGGCCCACTTCAACCATCGTAGCGGCTGCAAATGAAAGAGAAGAACACTAGAATCGTTCACAACACTATGTCAGGACTGACAAACGACTTTCGTAAATAAAGGCTGAAAACTCACCGAGTTCAGTGTCTCTGATGCCCATGTAGCTCTCCAGGAGGTCGTCCACTTTCTTTATGGCTTTCTCCTCGAATTCTGTGGGCTGCAAAACAAGTCCGTGTTAAATCTGGAGCGTTTAGGTTCGACTGATTACAGGTGTGCACTTTAGCAGACAATATGGCTCTGACTCAGTCAAATTCACAGATATCAAGCAAACAGTTGGTGTGGTAGTAACAGAGTCGTTCCCAACACACTCCAGATGTTAACAGACTGCACGCCACATTTGTGTGTCTTGGTCGATTTGGTTAAATCTTAAAAAATAAAATTTTGCAAAACCTTCCACAATACCTTGCGTACAACTATCTGAGCTACGGCTAGATTTTGTGTTGTTTTTTTAGGATCAGTTAGCAGTGGCAGCCATCTTGAATCAAATTGAAAGAAATAATCAGTTGAACATCCAATGATTTACTTTGAAACTCTTGTTGCAAAACGTGGAAGAAAAATAGATCCCTCTATTTGAATTCACACAGTTACATTATTGCCCACCTTTCATGGCAGCAGGTGATAATTTGGTCTTACCTCGTCTTCTACAGTAGCCGGACCTTTGGACCGGAGTCTCAGGGTGCTCCTCCCGGTGCCGACCTTGTTGTCCCCGCCTGGTTTGCCGCCTTTTGAACGTGGCTCCAGCATTTCTGTCAATCACAGAAAAATAAAATTAAATGCAAAGCGATCAAATTMCAAACCTTTTCTTGTGCTTCAATCAAGTATTTATTGATCTCACCGAAAGCCTTCATCGGCTCCACCAGTTTGAGGGTGAAGGGTTTGTCTCGGGGCAGGTCCTTCAGCATGCGGGCGACCTCGTAGTGCCGCGTCCCAATGATGTTGCGCCCGTTGATGCACTCTATGTGGTCGCCCACACATATCACCTTCACCCTGTCTGCGACGCTGCCCTCTCTGATTCGCTGCAGAGCGGGGAGAGGACAGGAAGTGGGAAGAAAAAGATGTCAAAAATACTAATGCGAGAGCAGAGATTTGTGTCATGTTTTTTTTTTTAAGTATGACATCATCCCTTCATGTGATCATCAGATATTGTCCAAGATTAACCTTCAGGGTGGATATAGCTCGCTAGCAGCCTCAAACCGATGACCTATCCACGTCATCATTTACCCAGAATGCTTTGCATGTAAATAAAATGGCCCCGTCCGCGTAATATATTTTAAACTTTTAGTTTAAAAATGATTAAAAAAAGAACATCCTACAGTATTTTTACAGTCTTTATTTTACAGTTAAAATACACTCACTGGCCACTTTATTAGGTACACCTGTCCAACTGCTCGTTAACACTTAATTTCTAATCAGCCAATCACATGGCGGCAACTCAGTGCATTTAGGCATGTAGACATGGTCAAGACAATCTCCTGCAGTTCAAACCGAGCATCAGTATGGGGAAGAAAGGTGATTTGAGTGCCTTTGAACGTGGCATGGTTGTTGGTGCCAGAAGGGCTGGTCTGAGTATTTCAGAAACTGCTGATCTACTGGGATTTTCACGCACAACCATCTCTAGGGTTTACAGAGAATGGTCCGAAAAAGAAAAAACATCCAGTGAGCGGCAGTCCTGTGGGCGGAAATGCCTTGTTGATGCCAGAGGTCAGAGGAGAATGGGCAGACTGGTTCGAGCTGATAGAAAGGCAACAGTGACTCAAATAACCACCCGTTACAACCAAGGTAGGCAGAAGAGCATCTCTGAACACACAACATGTCGAACTTTGAGGCAGACGGGCTTCAGCAGCAGAAGACCACACCRGGTGCCACTCCTTTCAGCTAAGAACAGGAAACTGAGGCTACAATTTGCACAAGCTCATCGAAATTGGACAAGAGAAGATTGGAAAAACGTTGCCTGKTCTGATGAGTCTCGATTTCTGCTGCGACATTCGGATGGTAGGGTCAGAATTTGGCRTCAACAACATGAAAGCATGGATCCATCCTGCCTTGTATCAACGGTTCAGGCTGSTGGTGGTGGTGTCATGGTGTGGGGAATCTTTTCTTGGCACTCTTTGGGCCCCTTGGTACCAATTGAGCATCGTTGCAACGCCACAGCCTACCTGAGTATTGTTGCTGACCATGTCCATCCCTTTAAGACCACAAAACCGTTACTAGCGTGGTGTACCTAATAAAGTGGCCGGTGAGTGTATGTTTATTAAATAAAGTCTAATGTTACAACTCATCGGGGATCCCTTTAAAAGTGTTGCAGATTCATTTTTTCCTGTTTGAAACAACCAGACTGGCCTTTGAGTGTCACTGCAGCAGCAGCGCGGAGCTATCTGAACGCAGTGAGGCGGTGGCGTCACACGATGGCACACGTGAGCAGTTTGATCAGAACTGATCTTTAAACCAGGATCCATTAACACAAACTGACTGGTTTGATAAATCAAAGCTGTAGATTAGTGATAACAAACCTCATAAAATATGTTTTGGATCGCAGCTCTTTCATTTTGTAATAAACGAATGCAGTCGAGTCACAAGTGGATAAAACAAAGAATTGTGACCTCATCGTGACTCTAAATGTTCTCACCTTTATAAAAGCAAATCCGGCTCCGTTGTCGGTGATGGTGAGGCCGAGAGCGTCTTCAGATTTGTACACTTCCACTTCCTTTTTGATTCCTTTAACGTGGGCGAAAATAAAATCCTCCAGGCCGATCTGACCCCCCAGCAGCTTCTCCATGTCGATCTTGTGGGTGTTCAGAGTGCAGAACAGGATCTATAAAACAATGTTCAGATATTATCTTCTTGTTGTTTTTCTTTCGGCTGCTCCTGTCTGCAGGGGTCGCGTCAGCGAGACGACGCCCCTTTAAGGACTCGAACCTGCAGCCCTGACCACCGAGCTGAGGGACATTTAGCTTTAAATATAAAGGAAATATTCATAACTACTGTTATTAGTCAGCGCAGTAAAAGTCAGATTCATGCAAAGTGTCAGACTGCAATGTTCCGGTGCTAAATATAGGACTCATCAGCTCTATCTTCATTTCAGCCGTTATTTATGACACCTTCCACCCTCTCACACAAGTCATCAGTGTGTTTCTGTACATTTTTAAAAGCTGCGTTTGCCTTTTAATGAAGCAAACTGAACTGGATGAAGATGTGAAACAATCTGGCTCTGCTCCTTTTCTGAGTGAATCGTCTGTCCGGGGAAGTGGGGATGGAAACAGACTGATGTAACATCACTTCAAACGGAGATTGGACAGTGAAACCCAGGAGTCCAGAGGTTGTGAATCATTTATTCAGAACTAACTCACCGGGAGAGCAAAGCTATCAGATTCTACCTTGGGAGAAATTGACAGCGTCGACCTGAGAGCCACGACTCTTAACAGCTCTACGGCTTTCTGTTTTTTTTTTCTCCTGGTTTGTCAGTAGGATGAACTCTGTGATCCAATCAGCCTCTGACACCAAGGTCTTCCTCACTTGTGTACCACCATTAGCTGGCAAGGCCTCATCCGTTGCCTTGGGCTACCAGACTATAAAGAAAGGGATTAAAATGGAGCGAGGCCACAGACGGAGAGAAATAAAGGGGAGAGAAAAGGAGGCGAGCTGATGAGTCTCTGATCCTTCGTTTGGGACGGGATGGGACAAACAGCAGCAGAACAATAAGCTACCACGGCTGCAGCATCGTGACACGCTGCAGTAAAAGCCTCTGCTCCGACACTTTGACTCACAAGAACAGCTACTACACCTCCCACGACCCGTGGCACGCTGACCAAAACCCTGCTGGATTAAAGGCGGAAAGGAGGAAGTTCACTGCAGTTAATCTGACGTCATTTCAAGTATAAACGCTTTAAAAACATAAAACAGTAAAAMCAAAGCTGAATCTGTTGACTTACCTCTAACTACAAACACTTCATTTTATCACTTCTTAAAAGGAAAAAAAATCAGACAATACTGAGACCAGATTACAATGATAATGAAAATCATCATATAATCTGAGAATTAGGGATTGGGGTGGATAAAAGTACTGATTTATCAATGCGTTGCAATATTTTCATTTCAAATTCAATAATAAATCAGAAAATCCTCTGTTTCAGTTCAATTCCCTGACCAGTTAGTCTTTTTTTATTTAGAACAGGTGTCATTTTGAAATTGCTTTATTTTTAGATATTTTATTCACAAAAATGTTTATGTGCAACATTTCTTTTTCTATTGGCAAGAAAATCAATTAATTATTCACAGGGACTATGAATTAATTAATTAATTATTCATGTGATCTTATTATCAAATTGATGTGGAAGTGATATTGAATCGAATTGTGACTCAAAGAATTGAAAATTAATTGTGAAGTTGGAGCTCAGTGTGCAGCCGAGCTCCTGCCCCCGAAGCACTGTTGTGAAGACGTGCTGAAGTGGGAGTGTTGGAAACGGTAGGAGGTTCTTAAACAGGCAGAGGCCAATTTCAATGTGTGTAGAAAGACTATGATTTAAAAACTCATTCATTTTTAATTACATATATGTATACATAAAATTTTTGTAACAACTGAAGTTAACATAGTTACTTGATTGTGGAATAGAATAGAACTGYGTGCCTGGAAAATACATATTACCATCCACTCATCCATTATCTATACCTGCTTCTTCGTTTCAGGGACCTGGACAGGTTGCAAGTCCATCACAGGGCCACACAGACACAAACGAGACAACCACTCTCTCACTCACACCTAGATACATTTTAGAGTTACTAATTACCCTAACAGTCGTGTTTTTGGTCTGAGTGCTCACTGCCCGGAGAAAACCCACGCATGCACGGAGAGAATATGCAAACTCTACTCAGAAAGGTCCCTGGCCCGGGATTTGATCYGGCGACCTTCTTGCTGAGAGGCAACAGGTCTACCAACTGAGCCACTGTGCCGCCATAGATACATAATACCCAATTTTTAAAGCAAAAATCTTGTGCAATGAGTGGTCCTTGGATTATAAWGTGAATGGGTCTTAGCTACCATTTACAACCATTTCTGTGTTAGTTAATAYCAATTAGCTAATGCAGCATCTACAAAACCCAATCAGCTGCAGATGTACATCTAATAACGAAAGCATCCAGTGGTTTATAAGATATTTTGCTAACTCTACAAACACACACGCATACAGACGATGGCAAAAACAGCATTACCTTCAGTGGCGAGTGATAATCTAAACAAAAATCTTTTAAAGCTTCCTTAAAGTTGCTGCAAAATGTGGGCAAACCAAACAAAAGCCATTTACCAAGCAGGAACTATGAAACATATTAAGTAATAACATATAGTGCCACTATGAAACATATTAAGTAATATTACATATCTACAGTCAAACTACATGCATCTGGTTCTGCTACTATAAATAATTAAGAGCTGATTTCTCTAGAGACTGAACAGGTAAGACTTAATAATAAACAGCTTCTAATTGCTGCTGCACATGAAATTCACTCTGCATTTAAACAACATGATTAACCCATCTTTGACAACTGCTACACCTTTAATGGCACAAAAGAGGACAATTAAATAGAGGACATGAAACATTMAGCAGGTTATTTATCTGATAGCTTTAGATCTTCAATAGCATCACAAAAACACGGAGATGTGTGTTTGTTATATCTTCTAATTTGCAAAGTTTATATAAAATAACACTTTGACCCCGCTAATTTTCCTCCAACATACAATGTGCTTTTTCAGCTGCATCACAAAAAAAAATCAGCGACGTCCTGTTCTTCCTGCTCGGTGCGTTTTTTTAAAAAAGGTATCATATCATGATTTTAAATCGTTCTTTTTCATGTCTAAATCATTCACTTTATGGTCTATTTAAAGAAAAACTGCAAAGCTTTGGTCTTAATTCCTCGTTTTCGTTGCTCCACAGACTCCTTTCTTTCCTTGCTTTACCCCTGTTCTGAGGTGCGGTCTCTTTAAATATAAAAGAGATATTTCACACCCCGCCCCCTCCAGGTCCCTGAGCGTTCGACTCCACCCCGTTCGGCCTTATTCGTAGTTTCATTGCAAAAACACAGTTATCTACCGACTAAAAACTGTTTTTAAGATAAAATAAGATAAGATAAAACTTAATTGATCCCACAGTCTGGAAATTTGCACATTACTGCAGCTGAATACAAGAGAGGCTGAGAAGAATAATGAAAGATTAATAAAAGATAACAAACAAAACCCCATAATATACATGATATATAGTAATGTACCAATGCGCATATACACATATACATAAACACATATGCTTATTTATATACATATATACAACTAAAGTACAGTACAAAAATGAATGTATATGAAGGTGCATATTAGTGATGGCAGATGGGAAGAAAGTATAAGGATGTCAACAACAGTAGACTTGTCAATCCAGCCTTACATGTACGAGCCAGAGTCTGACACAGTGCAAGATACTCAGAATGACAAACCTGCAGAACCACGTCTTCAAACGAATGTGTCACAATGGTGCGTTATTTATTTACACACTCTGTATCCTTACCTACACTGGGGAGCATADCTAAACTAAAATACATGCATTTGAACTACTATTTAACTACTATTATATTATATAATTTACTTTTGTGATCAATAAAGTTTTTTTTTAATTGAACAACTACAATATACTCACACTCACTGTACAGATGTGAAATTATTTTAAATAAATTGATTTTTGTGCTTGACTGTTAGTTTGAAATGTACAAAAAGCAAATAAAATGTAATTGTTTTGATTTTTCATTGCCAATTAGCCTATTGATTTCAATATGTCAAATCAGAACTTAAATCATAATTAAATGATCAGTCACATTCTACTTTGGAAAGACACACATCCATCTTGCTATCCTTATGAGGACTTCACACACACAGCGCTCACAGCTTCTCTGCCTCATTCTGCTGCTCCCGTTTTTAACAACAGGCAAAAAATACATTTAAAACAGCTGACGTTAACTTTAGATCACAATTTGAAACGCTCCAGCATTTTTAAAAAGAAAAACAACACGGATAAACATGGTGCTGAGCACCAGTTCGGTAAAGAAACTTAAACACAGCTGTCTTTCTCCCCTCATATTCCGACACAGAGGGTAGAAACAGATAAATTAGACAGTTAAAACACATTTACAGTTCATAACACACCCTTGTTGTTGTAACATTCATCCTGTGTTGTCCACAAGCACTTTCCACCCTGTTGTGGGTCCATTTCCTTGAAAAATAAAACTTAACCAGGCACTTTGAAGAAGCTCTGACGCTGGTAGTCTATGTAGATAATAATGTGGGTTTACACACCCCAGAACCAAACATTTTGACTTCTGAGCTTGCATTTTCGGCATGACGCTATGGACTACAAAATCACACAGCGAGAAAAAAAATGGCGGACTATGAAATCCAGCTGGCCGTAAATACATTACCATAAATGGTAGTTCCGAAGAAAATAGTGTGACGAAATAAACAATGAAACGAAATAAGCAACAGCAGATTTTGAACAAACTGAAAAATTTGACCCATAAAAATATATAAAAATATCTTTTCAGTAACAGAACAGAATAAATTAATGTTTTCTACACTCCTAGACACTATAATTGCACAAAAAATAGTTTATAAATGCAAAAAAAGTGCATTTAGCATGATATGTCTCCTTTAATAACTAATGTGGAATGTGGCGATGTGTGCTTTCAACAAAACAAAGACGTTTGTCAGCATTAAAGCCAAAGTAATCATTCACTAAAGTGCGTCTAACATTTCAGAACGAATGACATTTTTCATAAAAGGTGTTA